GCTGATCTGCTGCTGCTGGCTGCTGCTGCATGGTGTGGGTGGGGGGGTTCCTTCCTGGGCCTGGTCGCTGCTGGCTGGGATCTGATCGCTTCTGTTCTTGGATCGGATCTGATCTGCTGCTGCTGGCTGTGGCTGGCTGTCTGGGCTGTGCTGCTGCTGTGGCTGCTTTTACTGGGTTTGAATCTGATCTGTGATCCTTTTGGGGGGGGCCCTGGCTGCTGTGTGCTATCTGCTCTCTGCTGGACTGCTGAATCTGCTGCTGCTGATCTGTGCATGCTGGTGCTGCTGTGTCTGCTGTGTGTGCTGCTGTCTCTGCTGTGTCTGCTGCTGGATCTGTGGGGTCGGGCTGCTGGCGACTGTGTGGAGAGTGCTGATCTGATCTCTGCTGCTGCTGTGACTGTGATCTGGGCTGGCTCGGCTGGTGTGTGTCTGTGCTGTGCGCTGTTATTCTGTGCCTGCTGTGCTGGGGTGGATCTGGTGTCTGGTATCTGGGGAATCTGGGCTGCTGCTTTGTTGGGCTGCTGCTGAATGTGCTGCTGCTTGCTGGCTGCTGATTCTGCGCTGCTGCTGCTGCTTCTGTGAATCTGTGGTGCTGTGGGCTGGCTGCTGCTGCTTCTGCGTCTGCTGTCTGGTGCTGCTTACTGGGCTGCTGTTTGCCTGTCTGCTGGGCTTCTGTGTGCTTCTGCTGTGTGCTGCTGGCTGATCTTGGATCTGTGGCTTCTATCTGTGTGCTGGTCTGTGCTGGCTGGTTTCCCTGGCTTGCTGTGTGTCTGTCTTGATCTGTGCTGCTCTGCTGTGGGGCTGTGGCTGATCTGTGCTGTCTTCTGGTCTGTGACTGGCTGCTGCTGGTGCTTCTGGGTGCTCTGCTGCGCTGCTGCTGTTGCTGTGCCTGATCGTGGGGTGGCTGCTGTGCCTGTTGCTGGTCTGCTGGTCTGGCTGCTTGTGCTCTGCGGCTGGATCTGCTGCTGCTGGGCTGGCGGCTTCTGGGCTGCTGTTGGGCCGGATCTGATGCTGCTGCTTGTTATCTGATCTGGCTGCTGGATGCTTCTGCTGCTGCTGTCTGTGCTGCTTCTGTGCTTGTGCGGCTGATCTGGGGGCTGTGCGGCCTGCTTTGATCTGATCTGGGCTGGTGCTGCTGGTCTGTTGTGCTGGTTTGCTGCTGCTGATCTGCTGTGCTGTTGCTGGGGCTGCTTGGGTGCTGCTGCTGTCCTGCTGGGCTTGTATCTGTGGGGCCTGAGCTGCTCTGCTGTCTGGGGCTTTCTGTCTTGGGCTCTGTGCTGCTGTCTGTGATCTGGGCTGCTCCCTGTCTGAATTCAATTGAGAGAAATGCTGGCTTCTGCTGCTTATCTGGCTTGCTGTTCTGTGGGCGGTTACTGTGCGGTGCTGGCTCTGTTTGCACTGCTGTGCTGATCTGGGCTGGTATCGATCTGGCTGATCTGTGCTGTGATGATTGGGGCTTGCTGCTGTGGCTGCTGCTGCTGGCGTGTGCCGCGTCTGCTGCTGGCTGGGCTGTTGTGCTGCTTGTCGGCTTGCTGGCTGTGCTGTAATCTGTGCTGCTTGTGCTGCTGGCTCTGCTCCTGTGATCTGGATCTGATCTGGTGCTGGCTGCTGCTGGGATCTGCTGCTGCTGGCTGCTGTCTGCTGTGCTTTTGGTGATCTGCTGATCTGTGGTCTGCTGGCTGTGTGCTGTTCTTGCTGTCTCTGCTGGTTGGTATCTGCTGCTGTGCAATCTGTCTGCGCTGTCTGCTGCTGTGGCTGGGCGTGGCGGGATGTGGGCTGATCCTGTGGCTGGTATCTCTGCGCTGGCTGTGCTGTGGCCTGGGCGGGCTGCTGCTCTGCTGCTGCTGCTGTGCTGCTTCTGCTGGGTCTTGTCTGCTTGATCTGCTTCTGCCTGGCTGTGGTGTTGCTGCTTCTGGGGCTCTGGCTGCTGTGCTGTGTCTGGCTGGCTGCCCCACCCCACCGACATGCCTCCCACCCCTCCACCTCTTCCATTTTAAAAAAAGGAATAAAAGACTGCTGATCTGGCTGGATTCTTCTGTCTGTTTCTTCTTGCGCTTGGCTGCTGCTGTCTGGTGCTGCTGCTGTGGGGGCTTGTCTGCTGCTGCTGCTTCTCTGGCTGTCTGATCTGCTCTGTCTGCTTTCTGCTGCTGCGACTTCTGGCTGGCTGCTGCTGCTGGGTCTGTGCTGCTGTGCTCTGGCTATCTGGACTGGCTGGGCTGCTGCTGCTGCTGTTCTGTCTGCGTGTGCTGCATGTCATCTGCTTGCCTGCTGCTGCTGCCTGCTTCTTGATCCCTGCGCTGTGTTCTTCTGTCGATCTGTTTGTGCTGTCTGTCTGGGCTGGCTGCTGCTGTGTGGCTGCTTTCTGGGTGTGTTCTGGTGGTCCTGATGCTGCTGGCTGGCTGTGCTGCTCTGCTGCTGCTTGTCTGCTATCTGTCTGCGGATCTGCTGATCTGTCTTCGGATCTGTGTCTTGTGCTTCTTGATCTGGGCGGTGTGATCGGTGGGGGTTCGTGCCTGTGTCTCCTGCTGTCTGCTGGATCTGCATCTGTCTGGGCTGCTGCTGCTGCTGTCTGTGCTGGTCTGCTCTGTCTGGCTGTGTGAGCTTGGATCTTGCTGATCTGTGCTGCTGGCTGCTGTCTAGTTGCTGTGGCTCTTCTGCTGATCTGGGCTCTGGTCTTGGCTGATCTGATCTGTGCGCTGCTGCTGTGCTGCTTGCTGGTGCTTGATGGGTTGGTTCTGTGGGTTATGCTGCTGCTTGTCTGCTGTGCTGGCTCTGCTGCTGCGTCTGTCGTCTGGGTCTGATCTGGCTGCTGCTTCTGCTGTGGTGGCTGAGCTGTGGTCGACTGGGACGTGGTCTGTGGTGGACTGCTAATACTGTGTGTGCTGTTGCTGGATCTGGGGTTTATCAAAATGGGAATTGGGTCTGCTGGGAAACTGAAAAAAATGGGGGGATGCTTTGGATGGCTGGATCTGTCCTTAGAAAACTGCTGCTGCGCTGCATGCAATGGATACTGGTCAGTGGGGGTGTGGCATTGGAAGGGACTTAGCATGACTGCTGGGGTCGTGGTGGTGGTCTGTTGGCTGTCTGTGGGAGAAGAGTGGCTGCTGCTTGTTATGCTGTATCCCTGTCTGTCTGTGTCTCTGGGCGTGCTGCTGCTGATCTGTCAATGTGCTGCTGGGTGGCATGTCTGGGGCGTGTGGAAGAAACTGTTTGGGTCTAGATGAATCTGGCTGTGCTCTGCTGTCTGTCTGGTGGACGGCTGGTCTCTGCTTGCTGTGTCTGGCTTCGTGTCTGGGCTGGTGTGCTGTGGTGTGGGCTGATCTGGTGGGGGGGTCTGGGCTGCTGCGTGTGGGGGACTTTGATGCTGCTGCTGGCATCTTGGATCTGGTCTGCTGGTGGTCTGGCTGCTGGTGCATGTCTGCTTCTGGGCTGCTGGCTGGTCGTCTGCTGCTGTCTCTGTAAGTGCTGTGATCTTCTGGTCTTGGTCGCTGGACTCTGCTGGCTGGGTGGGAAGTACTTGTCTTCTGTTAAAGGTGATCTGGTGCTGGGAATCTTTTCTTGGGGGGGTCTGCTTTGCCTGGCTCTGCTCTGCACTGGTCCTGCCTGTGGGACTTGCTGGTCTGTCTGGGGTGGCTGGGATCTGGCGTGTGACTGCTGCTCTGCTGCGGTATGGTCTGGCTTGTGTTGGCTGTCTGTGCGTGCTGTCTGGCTGACTGATCTCTGTGGGGGGTGGCTGTCTGGGGTCTGTGTGTGTTGCTGGACCTGCTGCTGCTTAGCTGCTGGATCTCTGCTGACTGGGGCTGTGGCTTCTGGTCTTGTTGCTCTGGTGCTCCTCTGATCTGCTGATGGGCCTGAGCTGGGATCACTGCTGCTGGTGGTGGTCTGCTGATGCATAGGGTCTGCTGGTTTCTGCATGCTGGGTGGGGGCTGGCTGAGGTGGTTCTTGTGCTGTTGGCATGATCTGCTGGATCTGGGGTCTGGGGCCATTTTGGGGCCGGATGTGTCTGTCTGTCTGTGATCTTGAAAAACTGTGCAGGCGTCTCTGGGGTGTGTCTTTCTGGTCACTGGCATTCTGGTGCTGTCTGGGGGTGGGGCTGCTAATCTGGCTGCTGTTGGCTGGTCTTCTGGGTGTGGATCTGGATTCTTGTGCCTGTGTGGATCTATGGGTGCTCTGTCTTGGCTGGATCTGCTTGCTGGTATCTGTGGCTTCTGGGTGTGTGGCTGGAATGGTGATCGCTTCTGTGTCTTCTCTGGCTGCTGCTGCTGGTCACCTCACTGGGTCCTGCTTCACTGCTCTGGTGGAATCTTTCTGGGCTGGGGTCTGGGCTGTGGGTGGGGATCTCTCTGTCCTGCCTGTTGCTGCTGCTGCGCTGGCTGTTTCTGATCTGGGGTCTGGGCTGCTGCATGCTGTGGCTGTGCTGGCTGGGCTTTCTGTGGTGTGATCTGTGTGGTCTGGTCTGCTTTGGTCTGGTGCTGCTAGGTGCTGGGCTGTGCTGTTGTTGTCTGGCTGATCTGCTGCTGGGCTGCTGTGGATCTGTGTGTCTGCTGGCTGTCTTGTGCTGATTCTGTGGGTGGTCTGCTGGGGCTGCTGGGGCTGCTTGAGTCACTGACTGGCTTGTGTGGTGGGGTCTGGTCTGTTGGGTCTGTGGGCTGGCTGGCTTGGGATCGGATCTGGCCCTGGTCTAAGTATTCTGTACAGACCAACTCCGCTCTGGATCTGCGCTATCAGGACTGTGCTGTGCTCTGAGCTCTGGGGTGGTGGTGGGCTGGATCTGGGTGGGGGGCTTCTGATCTCTGCTGGGCTGTCTTGTTCTGCTGGGGCCTCTGCTGCTGCTTGCTGGCTGGTGGGGTCTTGGGGGGGTTCTGCTGGTGTCTGTCTCTGCTATCTGGCTGGCTGATCTGTCTGCTGTGCTCGTGCTGGGGATCTGCTGGGGGGTTCTCTGTGGTGTCACTGTCTGCTTGGTGACTGCTGGGGAACTGTGGGTGGGGTCTGCGCTCTGGTTACTGCTTTGGTTCTGTGGCCCTAAAAAAAATTGCTTGTGGTTATCTGGTGCCCGTGTGCCGATCGATCCTGTCTGCTGCTGATCTGTGCTCTGTGCTGTCTGGTCGGCATGGCGCTGATTTGGGTCTGTCTGGGCTGACTGCTGGTCTTGCTGGCTTGGTTTGGCGTGGTGGGTGCTTGTCTCTGGGGGTGGGATCTGCTGTGTGGTCTGCTGGCTCTGGTGGTGTCTGCTGGGCTGGGTTGGCTGATCTGGGTGCTGCTGATCTGGGTCTTGATCTGTTGCATGCGGCGGTGGCTGTTGTCTGGGTGCTGATTTGATCTGTGTCGGGGTACGTGCTGGTTGGATCTTCTGGGGTGTCGGCTGGGTGTGCTGCTTATCTTCTAGCTGCTTCGGATCTGGATCTGTCTGTATCTGGTTGAGGGGTGGCATCTGCACTGCTGTCTGGCTGTCTGTCTCTGCTGACTGTCTGGTGTCTGCTGGTGTGTGGTCTGTGTTGTCGGCTGGTGTGTTTGTCTGGTGGCTTCTGCTGTCGGCTTCTGTCTGGTCTCTGCTGTGGTCTGGCTGTCTTCTGGTGTGTCTCTGATCTGCTTTGGCTGTATGCTGGTTCTGGATCTGTCTTGCTGGCTGTGTGTTCTGCTGCCTCTGTCTTGACTGAATCTGGGCTGGGATCTTTCTGTGCTGGCGACTGTATGCTCGGGGTGGGTCCTGCTGGTGGGCTGACTGGTGGCTGGGCTGCTTGCTGGTCTGGGCTGCTGTGTGGGGGGGACTCTGGGCTGTCTGCTGTGATCTTTGGTGGGTTTGCTTGGGCTTCTGGCTTCTGTCTGGACCTGGGTGTGCTCTGGCTGGCTGGCTTTCTGCTGGGGGGCTGGGTGCTGTGTGGGCTGTGCTGCTGGGCTGCATGCTTGTGGGCTGCTGGGTGTGTGGGGTTGGCTGGGCTATCTGTGCTGCTGGCTGTGCTTGCTGTGCTGGGTGTGCTGGATCTGGAATCTCCCAAAAATGTGCTGCTGGGGGGTGACGCTGCTGGAATCTGCTGTGCTGGTGGTGGGCTGGGCTTGCTTCTGGGTGGGGGATCTGTGGGTGTGGAATCGTGTGGGCTGTGGTCTGGGGTGACTGCATTTCCTGCTGTTGCTGTGCTTCTGCTGTGCTGGGGTTGCTGGGCTGTCTGTCTCTTGGGGGCTGATCTGTTGGCCTGTTGGCTGCTGGCGTCTGCTGGACTGCTGATCTGTGGGTGAAGGTGTCTGCTTTGTGGGTGTCTGCTGTGGTCCCCTGTCTGTGCTCTGGGACTGATCTGCTGTCTGCCTGCAAATGGGGGCCTCTGGACTGGTGTGTGCTGCTGGTCTGCTTCTGTCTTGCTGTCTGGGGCTGTGTCTGTCTGGGGGTCTGGCTGCTGTGTGTGGGGGTTCTGTGCTGTCTGCTTGCTGCTGTGCTGCTGGTGGTTGGGTGTTATCTGCTGGGGGGGGTGTGGCTGCTGGTGGGTCTTGGGTGGCTGGTCTCTCTGCTGAGGGGGGCTGCTTGACTGTCTGGGATGCTGGTCTGTGCTGTCTGTCTGTCTACTTGTCTGGCTTGAAGACTGTGGCTGCTGTCTGGGCTGTTGCTGGTCTGCTGCTCTGGTCTGGGCTATCTGGTGCTGCTGTCTGTGGCTGGATCTGAAAAATCTGTGTGGCCTTTGCTGGCTTCTTGGCTGTGGGCGTGTTTGCTGATCTAATGATCTGCTGTGCTGCTGGTCTGTGGGCTGCTGCTGGGTCTGGTCTTGTTCGGCGGTGCGGAATTGGGTGGCGGGGGGTTGGGGTGGATTGGGGGTGGATCTGGTGGGTGTCTGGCTGTGGTCTGGGATCTGCTGGGTGTGGTCTGGGGCTGCTGGTTCTGCTGTCTGGCTGTGTGTCTGTCTGGATCGGTGTTCCCCCCCCTGGGGGCTGGGTTCTGGTGATGGTCTCTGTCTGGTCTCTGCTTTTTGGGGGTCTGTGTGCTGTCTCTGTGGGGTCTGCTGTTGTCTGCTGCTGGTGCGGATCTGCTGTGTGGCTGTTGATCTGGGCTGGCTGCTGGCTTTGGGTGGCTGCTGCTGTGTGGGCGTGTCTGGGGATCTGTGCGGCGTGGTCTGCGGGGTCTCATCACTGTCTGGGCTGGCTGTGCTGTCTGATCTGACTGCTGATCTGGCTGGCTGTTCTGCTGCTGCTGGCTGCTTCTGGGCTGTGTCTTGTGCTGGGTGCTGCTGGGCTGTGGGGATCGCTGCTGGTGATCTGGGCTGGGATCTGTGTCTGGTCTTGCTGGTGGTGGTGCTCTGGCTGCTCTGGCTGTGGGCTTTGGCTGTGGTCTGTGTGCTGGGGGTGGGCTGGGGTGGACCGTCTGGGCATGTGCTGTGTTGCGTGTTTGGGCCTGTGTGGTCTGTCTGTCTGGGGCTGTCTTCTGGCTGCAAACCTTGGGTGGGCGGTCTGTTTGTCTGGGGTGCTGCTGTCTGGGGGGCTGCTATATGTGGTTCTGGGCTGGTCCTGCTGTCTGGCT